TTGAGGTTGCTGTGAGCTAGCCTGATGCCATGGCACTCTAGCCCAGGCAACAGAGCAAGACTTTGTCTCAAAAAAAAAAAAAATCAAAAGCAGACACAATGATCAAAATAATCCCCATAATTCTTAATTCATTATACTTATTAATACCTATTTTACTAAAGCCCAAAACTACATCTATGTCATACACACCCACTATATTTTCCACAACCATTCATCTCTAGCCTGCCCTCATGATAATGTTCAAATGATCTATCTGCCTGGACTATATTTCTCTGGTTCCTTTACATTGCTTTCCATATCAAATGTATTCAGTTGACTTCCAATCCATCTACTGCCATTTATATTTTCATTATTAATTTGTCTAGATTTCTAGTTGGCTTCTATCCTTTTGTTCCAATTTTTCTTAATTTACTTTTATAGTAAATTATACTACTTTCCCACTGATTTCTCCTTTAGAGAAAAAAAAAAAACAAAAAAAACACAACTACCTGAGGACTCTGAAAAATAAATAACACACAGACTAAGGCATGAGGTCAAAACCTGAAGAATGACCAGTACAGCAGCAATGAATAGAATAAACAGAAAAAGCACCATCTAGTAATAAGACCTGTGCTGTAGTTGAGGACCCACCATTAACTAGTTGTGTTAGCTTGAACAAGTCATTTAAATACTCTGACCTTCAGTTCCACCTCTATAAAAAAGCATAGTGGCTCATCTATAAAATGACATAATGACACCTTCCTGCATCAAAAGCTTGTTGATGAGGTTCAAATTAGAACATATTTGCAAAAGCATTTTATAAACTGTAAAATACCACACAAATCCTAGACACTATCAAATCTAGTGATCTGTAAATGTTCAAGTGCACATTCAATTAGTAAAAAGTCTTTGAACACAGAACTCCAATGTACGGATATTTATTTACATATAAATTACATGTATTCTATTAAATTAATATTATTTACACTATAAAATAATACAAAATTAAGAATATATGCTAAAATGAATAAGATATATATTTTAAATAACTTCATTTCTTCATTAAAGGTATAAAACCCCTTTAAATATTAATATTTTAACACGAAGAAAGTGAGTAAACTTTATTAATTTAATTCTTAGTGATTTGGCAATTCCAAGTGTTGGTGCTAGGTCCAGTTTATTTTGATACTGGGTTTTATAAAGGCTGATGTAGCTGAAAAAATCTTACAAAAGCATGTGGATCTAAATGGAAGAAGTACACTGTAGCTTAGCTGAACTAAATCAGGATTCTAGTCTACCCCATCTACCAATTATGAAAAAGTTTTTATCAAAATTCATCTAGTAAATTTCTATTTGTCCTGGTATCAGTTTATAAGCTAATTAGAAAGTTTTACATTTTTA